GAAGAACGGCAAGCTTTTATCCCACAGGCCGTTTTGGAGGCAAAAGCTAAGCAAGCAATTGAGGTTGAAAAGAGGAAAACTGAGAAAGATTGGGAGAATGGTGGTGCTGGTGTTTATTCTGCTAGTTTGAGGAAGAATTATATCTTGGCTGATGATGAATGGAAGGAAGATATAATGCCTGAAATTTTGGATGGTCATAATGTGTATGACTTCATTGACCCTGATATTTTGTTCAGGCTTGAGGAATTGGAGCGAGAAGAAGGTGTTTGGCAGGCAGAGGAGGAAGATGATGATTTTGAAATAGATGCTGTGGAATTGACACCGGAAGAGGAAGAAGCACTGGCAGAGATTAGGAAAAAGAAAAGTTTGCTAATTCAAGAGCACAGGATTAAGAAAAGCACTGCCCAGAACCGGCCCACTGTGCCGAGGAAGTTTGACAAGCACGGTAAGTTTACCACAGTGAGAATGGGCAGGCAGCTATCAGCGTTGGGGCTGGATCCTTCATTGGCAATTAGTCGAGCTCGCAGTAGGTCTCGGGGCGGAAAAGAGAGAGATCACCTGAGAGGCAAAATAATCATGATGGTGATAGTATGGATGTCGATATGGGCCAACAGAACAAGAAGCTGCGAATGAGGTCCAGATCACTGTCAAGGTCAAGGTCAAGGTCAAGACCTCCAAATGAAGTTGTCCCTGGAGAAGGCTTCAAAGACTCTGCTCAAAAGGTCAAAGCACTTAAACTTGCCAAGAAATCTGTTAAGAAAAGGAACAAGGATGCTCGCCGTGGAGAGGCTGATAGAGTTATACCTACACTTAAAACCTAAACATTTGTTTTCTGAGAAACGGTCAATTGGAAAAACTCAGCGCCGCTGAGTACTCGAGGTATATAACTTATTCAAAGATTCAGGTATTATTTCCTATGTTGGCCTTGGGCTATGTCCCTCTTGTAACGGGCCTAGAACTGAACAAAATTCAAGAATGTTGGTTCTTTCCAACTCATCTGTTCTTGGTAGATTGCATAACTGATTGTCAGTACTTAACATGTTCCTTTTGGCAGCAAAGGTCAGGTTATCATGGTGGAACCCAGATTACACTTGGGTGGAAGGAATTGATCTGTTCATGTCATCTTTGATCTGCTGGAGAGAGCCTGATTATGGCAGCAGGTCTTCTCTGCTCTCTTTGTTATAACTTACACTCCTCATGTTAGATTAAGCAGTTTTATGTTAGACACCATGGGTAACAATTTTGTCAGGTTATGAATCTTGTTTGAAATGCAGTCGACAATTGAGTGCTTCCAACATATAAATCTTTTTAGTTCAAATCAAAATTTGCTCTTCTTTTCTCTGTTTAGTACCTCCAACTCCGTTTCGATTGTCAAATAATTTAGATTCCATACTCCTCCCGGCATATTTGAAATGTGTTCTCCAATTCAATTGTCCTTTATATGGAGTTCTTTCATCTC